GGGGAATTCTGGGAGTTGAAGTCCACTCATCTTAAAGTGGCCAAGTTTGAACAACACTGGTGTAAGAAGCAAAATGACCTCCACTTCTGCCAACAGCCCCCAAACAGGCAACATGAACTGATTTTGGGGGTGCAGAAAAGCTTTGCAGAATGCTCTGCAAGGGTCCGGACACCCACTTTGCAACATGTACAGGGGGACAAAACAGTCCTGTCTCTTGTGGGTAAAAATCCCTTTTTAACCAGCTTCCCTTCTGCTTTGTGAGAGGGACAAGATATTGGAGAATATGAAACTCTACAGACAGAGGAACCTCCTTATGTCTAAAATTAGGCTTTTCCAACCACAGAAACCAATACTCAGCAGAACGTTTTGGATGAGTTGGTGAGGACGAAACCATCCTGATTCAAGGCGGGGAACACTGAGGACACTTCACCTCAAGGCCCCACAGACTTTCAACTTAACTTTAAAAACTGTGTTTGATCTTCTCCTCTACCCTCCCCATCATTCTTCCCTTTTGGGTGACGCCTTTTAGAAGAGGCCTGCATGCAGAGGGCTTTTCCAATCCCCAATGGATTGGTAACCCTCAAGCTTGCTTTTATTTTAGAACAAGGGCAGGATTTTAAAAAATGCTGTAACTAAACAAATCAAGGAATAAAACATGGAACCGGCAAGCTTTCCCCTTTTCAAAACTGTCCGAACAATAACAATGTATTTCTATCCCTTTTATCTCTTCCATCATCAAAGGGGGGAATATAACTTGATCTTCCCCTCTCTTATCCTTTACCCACCTTCCTACTTCTCTGACCACAATCTCGGCCCCCTCCTGCTCCGGCCCCCCATTCACCTTCGCTGTCAAACTTCATCCAGGCGATATCGTCCCCGACACACTCCACCCGCCAGCCGGGCAAGGTAGGGTTCATCATGGCCAAGTTGGTCTTTCCACACGCACTAGGAAAGGCGGCAGCCACGTATTTCTTCTTCCCCTCAGGGTTTGTGAGTCCCAGAATCTGAAAGAGAGCGAGAGAAAAGCATGCCACCGTTTGGCAGATGCCAAGCACAGGGCCCAAACTTGGGACATACCGAGGTTCACACTGCATCAGCTGCCAGATCTGGATTACAAAAATCCAGGTGACCAACACAGAGTAAGAGGCTTCTGCATCTCTCTTTGTTTTCCAGTCCAAATGAGTTAGCTCAGTGTTTTTCAAACTTGGCAACTTTAAGATGTGCGGACTTCAACTCCCAGAATTCCCCAGCCAGCCATGCTGGCTGGGGAATTC